GCACAGGCTGAGAAAGAAAATTATATTATCTGTGTTTCAACTAAAAGTGAGGCAAATTTGAAATGTAAAACCAAGAAAATGTGAATCAGGACTGATTACATTGATGCAAATAAAGAGAAGACATGTAGTGTACTCAGCAGGTGGTGTTGAAGCCTACTTGACACCTAATTCTTCCAAAAAAAAAAACAAAAATTGTTGTTTGCAGCACACAATGACTATACTGTTGACTATATTGTTTGATCTAAAAACCTTTAACAGAGTTTTTATACATTCGTCACCCCATGCTAGTGTATAAACATTTTTGGAAATTAAGGGAGTTTTTTGAGAATCTGGTCATTTTTTCCCCATCCTTGTCTGATGCAATGCCTCACAATATGGTTTAAAAGAGATTGATGACATGATCTTAGGGTGCTTTCACACCTATAGTACGATTGCTTTAGTCCGCACCAGTCATAAAAATGTTACAATGTAGTAAACAGACGTGGGTACGGTTTGCTTTCACATATGCAGAGTTCTAAACGAACCAAAATAGACCGCGAAGCCCATCGGCACCGGGAACAGACTATTTTCAGAAAATCGCGCCACTTTCAATAATCATGGAGGAACAGCTTTGCTTTGCGCTAATGGCGCTGATCCTCGCGCACTACATTGTACGTGCAAATCATTATTTTCAGATAATTAATTTCGAACACGATTCCCGGCTGCGACTCCAAACCAGCTTCCTGGTTTATTCATCTCGCCGACGGCGCATTGCGCGCCACTTCATGGAGAAGAGACGTGCCCTCCTCCTGAATGATCATTTTGTTATTAGCCGGCGATCTTCCTGCAGATCCATCAGGTACTCCGTTGGCCTATGAAAACAGCCCAGCCACACATTTTTCATCTTTAATGTGAATACAGATTACGAAATTGTCATACAAATGGCAAGTCTTGTCATGATACACATTCAAACGTGATATTGTCTATATTATCTATACAGTTCTCCAAATTGCATAGTGACATTGCATGATATTACCTAGGCTACTATAACAATGTTTTGAGAATTAATATGTGGCGAGATAAAGTCTACAACTGTATTGTACTGCATTTTTTTTACTTTGGCCATATTCGTTTGGATGCTTGGATTTGAGATGATGGAAAAGGTTTGACGTGTTTCCACCGCTTGCTAAAACAGTGCTCTTGCATACCTTTCAAATCACGTTCATCTCATTCGTATCACTTTTCCTATACTCAAACTAACACCACAGAAGATGCACCTTTTTTCTTTACAATCTCCTCGTTTCGTTGTTGGTTTCGTCACATGTAAGCAAACTATCCGCTGCACCGTCTTCTTCCATTGTCAAAGTGAAAGTGTATTGTGTGGTTACCAAACGTGCAACGTCACGTGATCTCAATCGCGATTAAGACGATAGACCAAAATCTCTATCGGTTGACAAATTTCTACCGGTTAGTCGTGTCTACCGGTATATCGCCCACCCCTAGGGGGGCTATTCCATTATTTTGCAGGGTGTGGTAGACCATAGGATGAGATTTTGGGACATAAATGTGGGGCGACCAGGCAAGGTACATGATGCCCGTGTTTTCTCCCTCTCATCATTGTATGAGCTAGCCAGTGCAGGAACTCTTTTACCTCACTGGAGTGAAGCATTTGAGGGGGTCGATGTGCCTCTTCTTCTGTTAGGAGATTCAGCCTATCCCTTACTACCGTGGCTGATGAAACCTTNTTGAAAACGGCAGTAAAAACGCCAGGCTACGCCTGTGTATCGAGAAGATTTCCTTAGGATGGTTCACTGAAAACAGCTGTTTGAATTAAGTAACCGCTGAATTAAAAGCGACAAACCGATGGTGGCTGCAAAACGCCAAAATAATATTGCCGAACACGTTTTTACCCCTAAATAGGCCTACTTGAATTTCTAGTTTTGACACAATCAAGCCTTTTCACCGGCTTCCTGGGTTGTATATAAAATATTAAAAGGTTAATTACGGTATATTGCACTATGGTTTAAAGAATACGTCAAATGTATTAACACCGAGACGCAGTGTATCGGTGACTGCTGCACACACGCGCGTTCCCTGTGCAAACTTTCTACTGTATAAGGTTTCGTAAAATAGCATCAAAAGCTTTTGCTTTCACCCTACCAAGGCAGACACGTAAACTGTCCCGACCTTCCATTTTTGCATATTTTCAGCACGATTAATATGTTCAGTTTTAAATATAACCTAGCCTTAAGTT